GTCTTAGTACACGATATAACTACAGAATTGTCAAGTTTTAAATAGGAAAAATATCGAAACTCTTTGGTCATTTTTGAGCGAGATGCTAACGGTCTAATCAGATTCAATGATCTATGCTAAGCTACAGCTAAAAGTGCTACCGCCAGACCCGGAGATCGGCTGAATGGATTCGAAAACGGTAAAACTCAACTGTTTAACTCTAGGGGAGTTGGAAAATAAGCCTATTTTCAAAAATAGTGGAGTGCTCCTTTAAGGTCTATAAATTATAAATGGAAAGATTCTATAGCTTTACATTGTTTGAATGAGGACCTATATTTTTGTAAAATTGACTCCATGATAGCACGGAGATGTCTATTTGACATCTGCATTTACATCTGCAAGACGTATTTTTTAGTGTTTGCTCATCTGCCATACATCTATATCAGATGTCAAATAGACGTTTAGAAAATGTCTTTAAGATGTTTATGATTTAGAAAGCATGTAAAACTGACATCTTAAAGACGTCTGTCAGATGTTTGTACACAGCTTTTAAGATTTCCAGATGAAGCGATCTTTAACAGACATCTTGCAGATGTACGTGTGCTATCTGGGCTAGTATCTATGGCATTTTATGGTTACCATAGTAGTTTTTTGGTTAATGCAGAAATGCAGTCTCAGCCCACACAACCTGAAAACTCTTAGTTTACACAACACTCACATTAGAGGCAGAAATTTCCAGATGAATGCTTTTACATTTTAGCTATTATTCAACATCTAACCACCAGCTGTGGACATTAAGTGAGGAGCCTTCTAGATTTTCCTCACTCAGAATGTGCATTCAATTATAAGAAAGAGAACTACTAGACATGTTTATCTTTTCGTTTTGAGTTTAATAAAGAAAATGACAGATCGACAGACAGAGCAATATGAATCTCTCTTTGAATCCCAGCGGGCGTTTGCATTTTAATAGAAAACAAGTGCAAATGTTTTATTTGTCTTTCTCCTTCTGTTCTTTCTCTTTCTTGTCTTTCTCGGCTTTGGCCTCTTCTGCTTCGTGTTTCTTGATGAGCCCTTCCACTTCCTTCTGCTTGAGGACTTTGATTCTGGTCTTGCCGTTCTCTCGTGTCAGTGTGGCAATCTCCACTACGAAGATGGACAGAAAAAGGGAACACAATTAGATGTTTGTCCATAAAATTTGAAATTTTAAAGACTGTTCACACTGAATCTACTGAAACTGAATCTACTGATCATCTTCAACATCTGTGAACAAGTATGCAACATATTTCTGCATGTAAGAGTTTCAAGGTAAAGAAAATAAAAAAGCTGATTGTAAGGTAGTCTAAATAAATACAAATAAATATATAAAAAAATAATATAAATAATAATATATTTGTTAATATTTTAATAAATCTAATATAGTCACAAATGCACTAAAAAAGGCAACATTTTCTATTGGTAATTTCATGTCAATTGTTTTTTTTTTTGTTGCAACTGCAAAAAAGGTTGCAATCGAGACCTAAAACGCACTAAATTTACAGAATGTCTATTGTTTAAAAGTGTTTGTTGTTTTATGACCGTTCTGACAGTAACTGTGTGTTACTGCAATTCAGCACATGATCAGCTGCATTAAGTTGAGAGCTCAGATGGATTGTGGGTCTGTATATGGTGTCATGATCATTAATAATGCAGAAGTCTGCTCTCCGCCAGACTGCTTCGATCTATCTGCCTCGTCTGCATGCTAAAACATTTATTCCATCTCCGTCTTGCCAAACACACACCTTTCTCTGCTGAAAGCTTGCTGACGTCCATGGTCTTGTTCAGCACTTTGACGGCGAGAGCGAGGGCAGACGACAGAGTCATCTCTCCCTCTTTATAGTCCTGCTTCAGCATTGACACAGCAGCCTAAAACACACAAACACACACTTTTAAGTCTCTGAACTGGTGTTTTGATATCTTTTTTTGTCAGAGAATAGAACAGAAGTCTTGAATTAAGGACAGGTGTCTCGTCGCCATCTACTGGTTAGAGAAGATATTATTTTATTACAGTATTTATTATAGAATAAATTTTATTATTACAGTGCACTAGTAGACGGACATGATGATTGGTCATAACATTTTTTTAAGAGGTTCTTTTTTTAATAAGCATGAAAAAAAATCACTCAACTTTAAGAGAAAACTTGAATTCCAACATGCAACCTCACAGTTTGACAAACAAAAAAGTAATGACACAATCTACATGCTTAATTATTGATAAAAAGCAGTATAACGTAACATACGTAAAATGCTTTGTGAGGACATCTGGGAACACTTTGAAGTAATAACTCTTGCATATTCTGTGTTGCTTTTTGAGAGAAAAATCTGAGATGTTAATTAGTGCTGTCAATCGATTAAAAAAATTAACTAATTAATCACACATTTTTTCTGAAATTAATCGTGATTAATTGCAATAATTTCACAATCAATCTTCAAATTAACGTAGAAACAACAAAGACAGTATATTTTTAATATTTGTTTAATGGCATCTTTTTTTATGACTGAAGGTGAGTATCACTGATACCAATACTACTGATGTCTCTTTGAAATAGTTTTTTTCCCCTAATATTTAATCTTTGACTATAACCATTCAACATTACAGTATAATTGAGAGCTATCAATTTGAACATTTATTCGAGTTTAAAAAATAACTACTTCTAATTTAAGTGAACTTGAAACAATCTTCACATAAACCCATTATAATAAATGTCATATTTAGCTACATGTGCCCTTCAGCAGAAATATACAGAAATTGAATAAACTTATCAAACACTAAATTCTAAATTAAATATGGAGGAATCCTTAAAGCTATAAAAGTTATTGATTTCCTCTTTTTTTTCTTTTTGTCTT